ATATTGTAAATTTCAGAAAATTTCTCTCAGGTTTGAGGAACTATGTTCAATTGATAGAACTTAACATATATTAGAATGCAGCTAACAAAATACAAAAATTATGAACTGTATATAAACCTAATACTCTCTGTTTATTACAGTCAATCATTATCCCATGAGTAAATTTATTACAGTAAAACCATAAAAAATATGACTTTAGTTTAATTGAATAGATATGTGTTATAAGCCTTGTTTAACATAAATTAAGAATTATTTCCATGTTCATTTTCACCACAGTAAAAAAAAAAAAAAAAAAAAAAAAAAAAAAAAAAAAACAAAAAAAAAAAAAAAAAAAAAAAAAAAAAAACACAATGTGGTCCCTTTTAGTATCTCTGAAAAATTTATACTTTAGCCAAAAGACAAATGTTTGCTTAACCAAATAAAAGAATAAAGTTTTATTTTATTGGGGAAAAAATGTATTTTGTTCTATGAAAACGAAAATCCTTTTTGTTTTAACTGGATAATTTTGTTGGAATAATATACAGTAAAATATAAACATTTTCGTTTCTTTGCCGAACAATACACACATTTATGAAATAGAAAAAAATATATTATGCAGATTTTGTGAATATCTGGAAGGCCTGTGATAACATTTATTCCAAATACACTGCTGGCTTTTAAAATTGCAACACCAGGAAGGAATGATCTGACAAATGTCAAAATCAGATAAAAGGAAGAATATGGGATATGCAAATGATTAGTATTTCAGCACAGCTAGACGATGCAGGAGGGAGAAATGCCATCTGAAGCACTGCATAAAAGAAAAGTTGTGTAGGGGATTTCTCATTCGGAAAGTGCTTTGTAAGGTTGGAGTTTGCTCAGAATATCATGTTATGTCTCGAGTAAGAAGTGGAAATGCTTACCAGAAAGTTTCAAAATTCGATTTGTAAGGCCAGCCCTGCAAAACCGTATGACCACATTACAGACCATCACGGAGGTAGGAAGTTAGATGGAGTGGCTCTAAACCAGTTTCCCCATACCCTGCTTTGAAGCACTAGCGATCCCTTCTTTGGTGACCAAAACATTGGGTAATTTACCATTGAGTTCAATGGGTTTTGACACAATTGGGTGTAAATATTTTGTAATTATGTCGTAAATATGCATATAAATGTATATATTTTCTTTTTCTACAATACCTCAGAGTCCCACAATACATATGAAAAGAATACATTTTTAAACATTTCATTCGGAACTGGAATTAAATGCTATACTTTTCACAGAACAGTTTGCTCAGAATGGTTTAATTTGAAATATTTTCACAAGTTTTCGTTAATTATATTAGAAAAAATATTTAAGATAATTCGATTTGATTCGGTTAAGGATTACAAAAATTAAGATAAAAGTTTATTGTATTATTAAAATTATGCATTATTTCTTTCTTTTTTATACAGCTTCTTCCTAAAATACTTTCTCAAATATGACATGATTTTTTAGCCTATCTTTTAAATCGAAAACTGTAAGTCAGTTTATAATTAATGCTCTATTCGGTCCATTTCAAATTAGAGCACTTTTTAATTTGATAGCAAAATACTTTAAATAGTACTTAACTTTCTCTGAATATTTCTGAAAGGGAATAAAGTAAGGATTATTTTTTAAATATTATTTAAAACTTGTAATTGACCTATTATAAAATGTAAGGGGAATAATTCTTTTAATTATACTATATAGATTTTTTTTACCCTTATTTTTCAACAGTGGCATATTCCAAAAACCTCTTCTTTGTTACTTTCTTAATAAATACGCATTTCATAGAAATTGCTTACAATACTTTTTAACAAATTGATTGCTTTCCAGTATGAACAATTCTTGCTTAAATAGTTTTTATAACGTATTTGTCAAACAGGATGTCAATTTTATGTTTACAATTCAATGCTAAGGTTATTATATAGTTAGATAATATTTATAATCATTATAAATTTAGATACATTTAATAATTAGATTTCTTCACAGTAACTTTCATAGTTATTTATGAATGAATCAATCCTTCATTTCAAATACATTTATAAATAGTTTATTAATAAATATTTAGGTATTTTGTTAAAGGCAGATACATGCTTTTTGAAAGCACATGCGAAAATACTCATACATATTTCATATTTTTCATTTCTGGCATGTGGAAATCTTTAATTTCTGTGCATTCACTATATTTTTCGAGTAAAGTAATTTACACTAATTTTAAAAAGTACATGTTACAATAATAAGTGGATGTGAAAAAAATTTATTTTATTTAAAACATTTTGGCGTCTGAAACATAAAATAAAAGTAGTGAATACTATATTAAGTGTATCGAAAAATGTATACAATTTTAAAGGTACGGTGAAGTATTTTTCATTCTTTAAGCATGACTTCTTTGCTAAAATCTATATTTTATAGTTCAACAGCTTAGAATTTTATGAAACAAATTAATAATCAAAATCGCTATTGTTAGCTATAAAAAAATAACCAAGATGTGATTTTTGCGTTAATGTCACTAAAGTATACAAATTGCTATTATCCATCATACTAGGAATGTTTCTTTTATGCGGAAGTGCCCCGTTTTTTTATTTCTATGGAACTGTCGTTTGTCAAAATACTATCAGAGCGCTGTCAAGTGAGCTTCTGAATGTAAACCAAAAACACCCCATCTGGTGACCGAAGCTTCGGAGCAGTGCTTCACTTCTAATGCCGATTTGGCCACTCCTTCCTTTCTTACCTCCATTAGTCCGGAAACACGCATGTTCGCAGCATGCCCAGTATCAGTTCATAAGGTATGTCGACATTTGTAGTAGCGTGGACTATTACTTCGGCTTCCCTTGACAATGCAGCATCACAGAGAGATGGCGATTGTAGTGTGGCAAATTACAAAGTTGGGTACAGGAGTGGCACGTTGTTGCCTTTTCAAATGAGTCCTGGTCCTACTTGCAGTATTCTCATGATGTATACATGTCTGAAGTGTCCAAGGAGAACGCACGTCTCCTGCTTGCATTCGATACAGGCATAGGGGCCCCACACCTGGTGTGAAGGTTTGGGCAGCCACTGGGTACACGACATGCACATATCTAGTTCGGATCGACCGTAATTTGAACACGAATGGGTACATTTCTGACATCATACATCCAGTGGTTGTACCCTATCTCAGAGGCCCCCAAACACCATGTTCCAACAAGATGATGCAAGACCACATGTTATATGTCGTTTCCTGACCTTCCTTGATACACAGGGTATTTGATTGCTGCCCTGGCATGTACGGTCTCCAGATATGTCACTGAAAACGTCTGGTTATGGGTTGCTGAGAGACTGGCCCGCCACCCTTCTCCAGCTAATATGGTTGATGAAGTGTGGCATAGACTTGAAGCAGCATGTAATAAATTGCCTATTTCAGGCATCCAAGCCCAGTTTGACACCATGCCTAATGGAGTAAGGGTCGTTTTAGCTGCCAGGGGTGGCAGCTGTTTCTACTAATTTCGCACCCCTATAAACTTCCAAAAAGCTTATAAATTTAACCATTTTTTCTTCAAGCCATACTGTTTACGTGCAATAAATATCTTTTTTGTATTTGCTTTGCTTTTGTATTTGCTTTGTTGCAATTTTAATGGCCAGCGGTATATTTGGAGTTCTACTGCATTAATAAAAATGTATATACAAATCCTGTAATGTAAAATAAAACTCCATGTGAAATTTGTAAAAACTTACTTTATTCAGAATGCATCAAATAGTCTATTTTAACAGTAGCATTTGAATATGAAGAGAAATTAAAAATCATTGATTTCAATCTATGACGAAAAATTTTCAAAAAAGAATTACTCAAGACTTCTACAAATAACTATTATAGATAGTAGCAAAAGTTATGCAAACATCTGCAGAAAACAAATAACTTATCATTTTGCAACATAAATAAATGCAATCACTTTGTCATAATTTGTTCATTACACATTTAAATAGAACATTTCCAAAACAATTGGAACATATAAAATTCTTATTTTCAATAGAACAACACAGATATTCAACAGTGGTTTACAGAAGTGGTCTCAAATTGGCAGTCCACAAACACATTTCAATTACGTATTCGTTGCAAGGATTTTTAAGATTTTAGTTATCTGAAGTACAAGTTTATATTATTTTCATTTCCATTTAAAAACAAGCAGGAATAATGCAACAGAAAATATTTAAATGAAGATAATAAGTTTACAATATGATATAAATCTTATTCAAAGATTAAAAATTGCAGATTTTATTAACTTTTATTTGAACTTATCGAAAAATATAATGCAACAGAAAATATTTAAATGAAGATAATAAGTTTACAATACGATATAAATCTTATTCAAAGATTCAAAATTGCAGATTTTATTAACTTTTATTCGAACTTATTGAAAAATATACAAGCTCAGTCATGAATAATTACTGAGAACAACCACTTCATTTGGAAACACATTTATATCAAAATAGCTTATTTTCACAGTTAAAAATTAATAAGAAAAGAATCTGATTTACAGATGAGCATTTACAATCTGTTTTCAAGATATTTCTCATGGAGACATAAACTTTATCGGAATCGAAATGCAAGCTGATTGTAAAGAAATGAAAGAAATTTATAATTATTTACATACAAACATATTTATTTTTATTTATGTGTCAAAGAAAAGTTTAAAAAAAAGGGGGAGGGGAGAGAGATATTAGGTTGCCATCATTTATTCTCATGTTTTGTCCTACTTAGAAAAGTTTCTCTGAAAACTTAGAACATTTTCATAATTTGTTTTAGATTAAATTACAGATTTAAACTAAATCTTTGATTTATAATAATTAATTAAACATGTTAGAATTATTTGAGAGAAATGTCAGTCTAACAACTTAATATTTAGCAGACAATATACTTGAATTACAAAGTATAACCAACAAAAATGTTTTGCAAGTACCAAACTTTAGATTTCAGATAGAAAATAAATTAAATGAGTTTTTCTTTATAATATTTTAATATTTACATTGTTTTAATAAACATTTAATAAGCGAAATTTAAAACTTAGTTTAATTTTTAAAAATTTTGTTTAAAAATTTCTTCACTTTGTTGGGGAAAAAAAAAAAAAAAAAATCTGGTCCTTCAGTTGTTTTCAGATTGTGCCTGTGGCCTGCATGCAATTCATGTTTGAGACCACTGGTTTATAGCATATTGCACAAAATAAAAGGGAATTCTTTGTTCAAATGAATGAAAAATGTTCCCTATGAAAAATAAAGCTGAAAGAATACAACCCTCATCAATTACTCTTATGACATTATTTAAAAGCATTAAAAAACTTTGCAATATCATAACAATGAATTTAAAAATAACACTAAAACACCGCTAAAAATGTTCCCCTCCCCAAACAAATTTTCCGATTTTGTCTTAAATACAAAGCAGATAAAACTGAAACCACTATTAAATATCAGTACATAAAGATAAAATTTAGAAGTTCCTTCATTATTGGAACATTTATTATTGGTATATATGTGTGTATACACGTACAACAACCACATACATATATATATAATATATATACATTTTTATCCACATTATAATGACTAATATTAAATGTTATAGTAGAATAATGTAAGAAACATACTTATGAAAATGTGATAATTTCATTACAATTAAGTCCCCAGTATTTTACCTAAGAAAATATTCAGCATAATAATTCACAGGCTTTTCCAAATTAATTTTTCTTTTTGTTCCCATAAACAGCTTCAATAAATTATCTATAAATTGCATATAATAAATCGCACATTTTCAGGAATATTTATAAGTTTTGAGGCAATATTACCACATTCTGCTTCACAGAGAAGGAATGCAGCATCTCTACAGGAGCCAACAGCTCCTATCTAATGTCATTAATATAACAACACTGAATTCACTGATTGCTTAACTATGAATGAACGGGCTAGTTATAAGCGACAGAATCAATTTGCTTATTTAGCCCATAAGACTATTGGGTATAAATTGCACTGATGAAACTCATTTTAAAATTATTTGTGTGAACATAACTTACAAAATCAATTTAAAAATAAATACACAACCTTACAAATTCATAAATAGCTAAGACATGCAGCACAGTTCTTAGAAAATAAATAATGATGGAACACTTGTAACAACGTGAAGAAGAACCTATTTCAGTTTGTCTATGAATTAATACACATGTGCAGAGGCAAACCTGAACTATAGATGAAGAGGTGGTACAGATACAAAACTAATGACTAGACAAATCACACAACAATAAAGGATCAGGATTCACTCTACACAGTTAGTACCATACACTATGTAGCAGGACCATCACATACAAATTTGGCAGGATTGTAATCTTCATTAACAAAGGAGAATCCTCGAAATTCTTCTTGATTGATATTCCTCAAAACCTCTGAAGAGACTGGTGTCAAAACTGGCTCCTCCTTTGTAAAATCTTGATCAAAATTGTTCACATCTCTTTTAGTTTTCTGAAATCACAAACAGCCATCAAAATTTTAAAGCATGATATTATTTAAATTCTTTTCTTATAATGAATTTTAATGCTGAAATATCTGAATAATCTAGTAGATACTGAATTATGCTGAATAATCTAGTAGATGAATATATAATGCTCAGTTAATTTTTAATATATTTTGATTAATACTGTTTTCTACTTGTTCTTCCAACTGATTTATTCCTAAGCCAATTTATGATTTTATCAATTAACACAGTAAGAAAGTCTGCCTTACCAATAGCACTTAAAATCTCATATCATAATTTAACAACTGTTTAAATCATTAGTTCCTAATTTAATTAACTGCAAAGCTTTTCAATGGTAAATTATTTCCACATAGAGATTATTAATTTAACCTCTTCATGACAGCACGTTGCTGAACTGAAAACCCTCTTGGTGAAGGGGGTAATGCATGAGTCCCAAATGCCACTAGCAGACTGGTGATGCACTGGTGCATCACTGCTTGAATTGATCTTGCAGAAAGGTGTATTATATATGCACTTTCAAACATATACCTTCTTTTAGAATATTTTTAAATCACCAAATGGCACTTTGTGTTCACTACACTTAAACTTATTTGAATATATACATTGCTGACTTGTGTCCGCGTAGTACTTCCGATCCTGGTGATTTGTTTAGATGTACAAGCAGAATATATAAAGTAAACAAAACCCAACTGAGGTGCAGTCGAGGCTTCACGTGATATAAATATTGGACAGTTTTCCGATGCTTCAAATTCCCCCTACGTGAAGACTGGGAGTGGAGCCTGGTTTTAGAAACTTCCGTTTGTATTCAGTTTGCATTTTCTTTAGATAGCAGACATAAGTTTTTTGCACCAGTTAAGAGGATTAAACTAATAGTGTGATGTCTAAGAGAAAGAAGGAGAGGGAAGAAGAGTTTATTTGAATTTTTATTTTTAACAGAAGAAAAGTACATTTGAATTGTAGACAAGCCCATGAAAGACTATTTTAACACCGAATACTAGATTTAAGTAAGGATAGCAATTTGGACATTGAAATTTTGGCAGAGACTGAACTGGAAGCTAGTTTTGCTTTCACCTCATAATCCAGCACAGCAATGGATATGTCATCATGAATTCAACCTATTCAGTAAATGAAGCCTTATGAATTTATGGGAACTGCAGAAGTAAATTTAATTCAAAGTTATACGAATGAAATTGATTTTTTAACCATTTTTTCAACGACGATCTAACGAACACAATAGTTGAATTAACTAATAATTTCTATGAATAAAAGATGAGTGAACATCCAATCTTCATCCAAAATCAATATACTTCTGTAGATGTGGCAAAAAGGAGGGGGTTCCTAGGATTAATTATTCTGCTAGGAGTAATTAAAAAGCAAGACCTGAAAATGTATTTTATAACTAATGAAAGATTATTATGTATTTTATAACTAGACTTTCATACAATGTACTTTCTGAATTATTTATGCTAACATATTTAATCATATATTTTATTATTTTTTACATGTGTTTAGATACAGATTTAGGTATGCTTTGTACAACATTTCATCAAGGTGAGTCAAATATTTTATTTTGCATTTATAATTTAATTTTTTCAGAATCTTGATATTCTGTATTTATGAATATATTACTGTTAGACACCATTACAGGAAAAAATTACACAATTGATTAAAAAAATATTTGCAACGAATTTTTTTTTTTTTCAACTTAGGCTTAGCAATGCGAAATATCCCGTCTTGCGAGATCGCACTACTGCGACAGCACACCATCTTCAAGGCGAGTTGCGCTAAGCAGCATGTCATTGCGTAAGAAGATATGATACACTCGTTGTGAAGGGGTTAATCATGTTTATAAAAGTATTTAAAAAAAAAGCATCTGAAGGCTGGAGACAAATTATATTTTAAATATTTACATGAAAACAAGAATTATGGAAGTTTTAAATATGTCCCTCCTCTGAATTGTCACTAGAATAAGTTTCAGATTTTGGGCCTTATATTTTTTATTCGTATTTCAGTTTTGATTCCTGATATACTAATGCCTTGGGTATTTGCTCATATGCAATTTCGGTCAATTTAAAGGTTTAGTTGTAGTTTGTCTTTCTGCATGTAAAGAGACTTTTATTTTGCTTCATTAGCACAAAATACAAAATGAGTTTTTTCACACAAATGTATTAATTTTACTCAGCCAAATGTATTAATTTAAACTACTTTTCCAATCTCAATAAAAACTATATGAATGATGTAGTAAATATTACCAAACTTTTGACTTCCAATGTGTTTTGCAAAAAAGAAGATTGAAACATATATTTTTTGACTGCAAAAAGTAAGATTATGTAAAACAAACACTGTGCATAAAAATGTCACATAAAATAAAGGATAAGAACACAAAATTTAACAAATACTATGTTTTTACATTGATGTCTCCATATGATATTGTATCAATATAATACAGTTTTAAATTTTTTCAATTATTAATACACTGTCCACAATATACAAGCATGAAAAAAATAATATGATTGTATATCACTTCTTGCATTATATGCTAAGTTAATTTACATCCTTTAATTCAAATAGTAATACATACATACATACATCTTTTAAGAATGATAAAGAGTTTTGGTTTGACTTCATTCCTCAGATTAGAATGTTGAAATAACGTACTGCAATTTCAACATAACTACATTAGGTTTCAGTTAACAAATTTTAACATATTTTTGGGCTGTATCATTATAGTATATAAAAATCATGTAATTATATTGAATTTTAAAATGACGCAGTTTAAAGAGATTTATTAAAAGTATTTACTATTTCTAGGACAGCAAAGGAAACTAAATTAAATAGGAAATTTAAGGGTTATTGCAAATTAAAATAAGGAATTAACTTTAATATTCTTTATCTTATTTTTATATGGTAGTATTTAAATTGTTCATCTGCTCTGAGATGAGTTAAATGGCGGACCTGGCAGCCACCATGGGCCTCAAGCTTCGAAGTCGCTCCATGAACACATATTTATCTGAAAATACACGCTTTTTCTGCTTGAAGAGCGATTATTAAATCGTTTATTACAACAATTAATGCAGTAAATTTATGTATTTTTCAATCCACTATTTCTTAAAAGATAGTGGCATTTTCATTTTTTTTTTCCCACATTCTCCTATCTACTTATATTTTCTGTTTTTAGTAAATACACATTGAAACTTTTCGAAAACGACCCTCTACAGATCCAGTCTTACTGAGGTAATCGTCTAGGAGAAAATGATTACAAATGACGTGTTTAATTTATTTATTTCCCAAGAAACATTGGTCAACTTCAGATATTACTATGAAAGTGGCTGTTGTGGAAGATTTCTAAACATCCTGTTTGACAGCCTCGCTAAAAAGATCTCTCATTGAATACTGTCAATTAAGCATTCATTGCTTAAGATCATGCTTAATGCTGGTTAATGACTTGTTATTAAAAAAATTGAACTGTTACTTAGCTATGAAGCAGATAGTCTTTCAGTTAGAGAGTTAGCCGTCAGGACATTTAGCTACGGCACAACTAACTGTCAAGACATTTAGTCAACAGGATACTAGGCTGACAGTGACGTTTAGCTGACACATACCCCATATTTATTTAAACGTACCATCAATTACGAAATTTCTTGTCTTCTCCATAAGTACAATATTTAAGTTATTTTTTTACCTATCAGTAAAATTCATTTTTTGATTCTTAAAGATCTCATACGTGCTTTAAATTCTGGTGTAATTTAGCATTGTTTGATATGTATCATGCTGTTTGGTGTATACTGACCAAATTGAAAAAGCATTGAAAATACTCGCCAGGGAATATTAATTAATTTTCGAAAGGAAAAAAAGAATTTTATTAGCTAAGTACGACGGTCACTTAGTTACATTTTAATATGGGATCTGCAAAAATTGTCCATAAACCTTTCTTCATTTAATCAACTGGGTTCTTATGGACACTTCAGCATGATTAATAATTTTCCTTGTTTACTTAATGATATTAATTTTCCAATCTCGCTTTTCCTAATGCATTCAAAATTTCTAATACCTTTACATTTCTTTACTATTTTACTCAACACATCATGCTACATTCTTTCCCTTATAAAATCGTTTCACTCCTCCCACTACTGAAATTTCCTTTCCCAGTCATGCAAAATCTGAATAATGCAACAAAAATTGTTATTCTTGAATTATAATTTTTATAGAAACATTAGCAGTGAAGGGTTAGTTAGCAAATATATTTTATTCTGTTATTACAAACAATTAAAAAAAAATTTAAGACAAGCAAAGCTTTAAATTATTTGTAACCCCTTTAATAGGCAGTTCATGCCACCATTCTTGAGATAAAACTTCTGTAACATTTTATTGGCTATGCTTCTTGCTTAAAATACTTAAGTTAATGTTTATAGCACTTAACTGTTACATAATGTTTAATTTAGAAATAAAATATTCTTTAAGATTTTCATTTTATTCAGAACTGAATACATATCCGCAAAAACTACATTTCTCACTCTACATATATCGAAAACGTTGCTGATATGCAACTCCATTCTATTTTCTAACCGCTCTTATTAAACGATTTGGATCGTGTTGCAGTTGCACGGATACATTTTGAGTATTATTTATCGGAACTGGATGGTGCATATTTTAGTACACTGTAAAAAATACACATAGAATTTCTCTTTTCCTAATTATTTGTATATACGTAGGCCATCCAGGAAGTAGATTACGTTTCCGTCTGTGTCCGCTAGGGGCGGGGCTAGCGCGGCCATCTTGGGGTCAGAGCGTTGCGCAGCTCAGTCTGCATCTAGCCGTGCTAGTGAGAGGTTCGTGCTGTGCTCCGTTCAGATACTGTGGACGGTTTGAAAATGTCTGCGTTAATTGAAAATCCCGCGAGCTGCGCTCAGTAATAAGGTTTTCTGACTGCAAAAAAACTGTAAAACCGATAGAAATCTATCGGCAGCTTCGTGAAGTGTATGGGGAA